TTTTATCTTGTCGATAGTGAGTAACGGTTTTTAACTGTAACAGTATCATTAGTTTATATTTTGTCGTAGCTTTTAACAAGTAAATTAATTTACAGTTTTGTTGGTCATTATTATATAATCATGATCAAACGAAATAACATGCATTTTAATCACATTGTTAACTTCTCCATCGTTATAGGCTCTACATTAGGTACACTGACAGTCGCTACCGGTGTAGCTGGTATCATAACTCCTGGAACATTTGAAACCTCAGAAAGTGTGGAACGATCATCAAATGAAGCCGGTGTAGAAATAGAACAAGCTACAGCTGATATTGTTATTAGACAAGAGCTTGGTGAAAATGTAAGAGGTGGGATTGATGTACCTACGATGGATGGTCACACTGAAGTAAGCTTGAGAAATTTTTTGTTATAGATTTTATTTTATCACTTTATTGAACCATGGAGTCCCATATTCCGGTATACTGAATTTACCTTGTTTGTTGTAAAGTAGCTGTCGGCCAACATCACTGATTGTTTCTTAAGTAGCAAGAATGCTACTCTTCAGTATCTATTTTCCAACCGACGCAATTAAATAATTAAAATGCGTTTATATTTAGCTGCAGATCTGACCATACACGTTATGATGTAACATTTCCATTATTGATCTCTCATCAGATTAGAAAACTTGTCTTCATGCCATATAACATCTCTTAGCATTATTTGGAGACCACATTGTATGTAGGTAAATTATTGCCAACTAAAAACGCTTTTAGTAACAACCAAATGTAAATGAAAATGTTCTTCAGATATCCAAGGGTTAAAAACGACATGCTAATTAATTTGCAGCGGAAAGTTAATATCAGTTTACCTATATTTTCACACATAAATTATACATTCAATAAAATCCATCCAATGTTTTCTTTTATCATCCATCGTTTCAAGTGGCTATCTTCAGTTTCGAATGTATCAAGCAAAATATTGTTTAATTACCTTACATCCTGTAACATTCGACAACTCTACCTGGACTTTGAATCATTGATGGATGAGAACATTGAATACCGTATGAAAATACAATCTTTGGGTTATAGGTATTTATTTCAAACTGTATTGATATTTTTTGATTAAGCGATTACTGTTCTCTATCTAACCACCTCATCTTATCAACCAACCCTTCTCGTATTTTTGTATAACTGACCCATAAGAGGTTGAGTCACTTCAACGTAGGTAGTTGTACGTCTTAAGACAACATTCAGTGCTAGGATGAATATTTCTCTACTATTGTGTTTGACGTTGTGGGTTTCTCGTTGGTTACCTTCAGTTTTTCAGTTTTAAATGCTAGCTGATGATAATATTTCCTCATTTTACTGATTGTATTCAAGAATATTGAAGTTGTTGAGTCTGAAGTCCGAACATCTGATCAAAATTTAACTAGTCCTATAAAACCTACATCAAGTACACTAGAAGAAGTATGCGAGTCTTCTGATGAAGAGCAAGAATGTTATTCGGAAAATGATGCTTTTTACGATGCTGATCAACGTGAATCTGGATCCATGGATGATGAATATGTCGAAAGTGATTCAAAGGATTCCTCATTTGATGTTAATAACAATAATAACATTAGATTCAATGCTGTTCCTACAACTTCAAGGCCGTCAGGATTCGCTACAGAAGATCTTTTTAAACAGGAAGTTGATACTGTTTACAATGAAAGTTCTGTACCTGAAGAAGGAGAAGCAGAAGACTACATGGAAGAAGGGGATTATGATGAGTATGAAAGAGAAGATGAAGCTAATTGTGATTCATATACAGAAGATGAAGAAGAGGAGGAAGAAGGAGAACAAGAAGTGATCGAATTGAGTAGTAAGTTCGTTTATGAAATACTTTGAATTTATTCCTCATTTTTTTCACAGCTGATACATCATCTATTCGAAAAAATATAACTACCTAATAATGTGTACTTCACACTGACAACATCTACTAATTTCAAATAATCTTAAGGTCATTGGATCTCCTTTAGCAAAAGATAAAAATAGAATGGGTAAATAATCAGTTGTATTGGAAATAAGTTGTCAATATAACTATTCGATAATTAGATTATGTATATTTATATTCCTTTTATTATAAGCTTTATTTTGACCTATAGTTTATTATTGTACGATTTACTGTTCTTAAGCTATGTTCAGTTTATTGACTACTGCCTCCCACGTTCATAGCCACTTTTTGGCTTTATTGTGTACAAATGTTATTTCTCATTTATGGTACGTTGCGGTCTGTTTGGTTGATATATAAACCCAGCATGTCTGAAACAAAGGATTCGATTAGATTCGCGTAGTGGAAGCTGGTATTGATGTTCTGGACTCAAGTGGACGGGCTAGGCGGATATAGGACACTAGGCTGGTCATACCGGTCGAACGTCATTGGATTGGCACAGTGCTAAGATCGTATAAGTCGTATTTTGATTGGCGGATAAATCACATGATAAAAAGCCGGACATAAAGACATAACAGTACTTATTAAAGAACTGTCACAAAATAGGTACAGATAATACTGACTTTAATTCTACATTATTAAATTTTAACGTGTTGCATAGATTGTTAAGGAATCTAAACAGTACTTCTACTTAACTGATGTACATACTATGATCTTGATGTAATTTTGCTTTAAGCATGTATCATATACGTTAGGTAGATGCTATACGAATTTAGCATATTTCTATCCGATTGTCCTAATTATAAAGTTCCTCAATCTATCTTTTATTACTGATTTACTAGAGAATACATAGTTAAAGCACTGTGTCTATAAAATAATTCAAACTGTTTTATTTTTATCAGATGGGTTTTTGTGGAGATTGTAGTAATTTCAATGGTTAAGATCATGAGTCAGTTGAAGCTAGACCACCATGGAAAACCTGGAAGCACTGGACGGCCTTTTCGTCCTATTGTGGGACTCTTCAGCAGTGCGCACCCACGACCTCGCCCCCTGCGAGATTCGAACCCAGGACCTACTGGTTTCGCGCCCGAGCACTTAACCACTAGACCACTGAGCCGGCATCCAACGGTGTTAATCTCTAACTTCAACTAATCCACTAAATTGAGCGACACATTCACCATTGTCTTCTGTGAGTTACTATCTCACAACAGACCTGGTTGAACTCCACTGGTCACTACTTCTCACTAGAACTCCAGGATATACCTCGTGAAGCCAGTCACTAGTGAGCAAATCGACTGTAAGAAATTTTACATAAAAATAAAATGATCATCGTGCTTTAGCTGGTAATATTTAATTAAGATTTACTTCCCATTTTATCCGATATTTTGTTAAGGTGGTTCTGATGATGATACCCAAGCGCGTGGTGCTGATGCTGAGGAGCACTACTCTCCTGGTGTGGACAATTACGGCAACGAGGAAACAAATGAACACACAGCACCTACAGATGTGGGAGTACCTGAAAATGTCGGTGATTGCAATGAAAGGGTAGGTGAGGATGATGGACAATTACATTATGAGACAAAGAGTATGGAGAAAAGTGACTCCACTCCTCAGATTTCAGAAAAAGTACCAACTTCTCTCAATACGGAGATGGAACCTATTCCTTCTAGCAAGGGTTTATTTGGCGAATCATCTATTCCTAATCTCTTTAGCAACTCTGGTCTGCCCAAATGTTCCGGCTCATTATTGGGTTCATCTGGTCTTTTCTCCGGTTTCAAGCCTTCTTCACTAACTGTTCCATATTCAGTTGCCACTACTGAGTCCGGACTTCCGTCTGGTAGTTGCACGGGACTTTTCAAATCATTTTTGCCAGTGAATACGGTCCCAAGTTCAACCGCCACTCCATTACTTTTTAAGCCTTCTACATTCTCTGCTTCAGTTGCAGCTTCCAAAGGTGATTATTGAATTTCTATCTCTGTATTCTTAAAGACTAAATAATTTTTTAATTCATCTTGCGAAAACACTGATCATATTTGTTTTATTATGCTTATTGATTTATTTTTCATGGATTGTTATTACTGTTAGTAGTCATCAAATTCTTACTGACCATACCCTCTTCTTGTTATTTTTTAGAACCTTCAAGCTCTGGGGATTCTAGCACAGCTCGACCAAAGATTCAACCCATTGTCTGGGATTCCTTCGACCCTTCTACTGCACAGTCAAGTGTATCAGATAGTGCATGTACTAGTGGGCCGGCTCGAAGAAAAAAATGGTGTCCTGTCGCTTCCGTGCCAAGAGCTACTAGACGTTCCAGCCTACCTACTAGTAGAGGTTGTGCTGCTGGAAAGCCTGGATCTATTCGCGGTGGTTTACCTCCTAGAAGAGGTTAATGACTAAACAATACTGTTGCTGTATATTTAAGAGCTAAGATTCATGCACAATTTTACCTTTGTTTTCATTTTAGCATTTCATTGTCCCGCAGTGTTTCTTGCGTAACTTTGATGTATTTAAAGTATAGTCATGTAGTCTGCAGTATACTAGTTCACTTTGAGTGAAAGAGAATGAACAATTAATTGGATTATGTATGGGTTATTGGATTTATATATTAACTTCTTACTAGGAATAGTGATCGTGATCTGTTGATTTTAATGAGTAACTGTACATGGACTTTATCGAAATGTAATTTTATACCGGTTGACGTGACTCAAATATTTAGACAGTTTGTTTAGTAAGCGTTAGTATCTAATATAGAACTCAACGAAATTGTTCTGCTGAATTGTTTGGTTGTAATTGGGACAAGTAAAATCAGGCAAACTCAGCGTTTATTAATACTAGTTACTAACAACACAATGGTCTAAACTCGAACGTTCTCTAATGAAACGTGCAGTTATTATTGTACGATATTTCGTGGGAATTTCATGTTCGACTTTGCCACGGGATGACTTTTTGTAGTATTATGATTTGATTCGTTTTGCTGCTGCTTCCTGTCTAATTTATTGTCGTATATTAAGTTTGAAACGAAAGTAATTATTTTTTTCTTGGGTAGTTTCGTGAGATCAATAAAGCGTTACTTTAATTTCAATATGGTATATATTTCGTAGCAACCTTCTATTGGAAGTGTTTATCAATAATAAGTTCCTTTCTACATTCCTTAGTTTGTTACTTTGATTATAAGTTTTCAAAGACCTGCTTCCTTAAATATTCGTCTCATTTCACCGCTTTCATGTAAGCGCTTTATTTCTGGTTCTCCTCCTATATGCTTGCCATCCAGAAATAAATGTGGTACCTGAAAAGAAAATGGGAGTTGGATTTGTTCATGGAAATATCGGGGGATTAAAACAGTTTGATTGTTAGCAATAAGTATAAGGGAATTAGTATGAATTTTAAACTATAAAAGTGAGTATTTGCTGAGATTTTTCTTTAGCTTATTATGCGCTGGTGACAACAAGACTGGGAATATTAAGTAGCTGACGACTGATTTCTAATACATATATCAGTTATCTTTGTCTTTAGAAGTGGCAATGTTACTAACATGCGGAACAGTTTTTCATAAGGAGCTTCAGTACTGGGATCATTGATTTCGCAAGAGAATTTCAAGCCTGGTTCAACACGTAAAGACAGAAGACGAACCTTAGAAGCTTTGACATTACTAGCATTTACTATCCAGGTCTCTTTTTAGCTGGATGGAACTCGACTCTTGTGAGACAATGTTTTGATACAATTTTCTTTGTCAGTTAGTCAGTTATAAGCAACGTAAACCATAGTACATGCTTGAATCGTTTCAAGTTACCGCCACATATTTGCACAGTGAGATGCTAGAGTAGTGTAAGTAGCAGGAGTATTATTGGTAGTAGGAAAGACTTGATTGAAGAAAATATGGATCCATAGAACAAAAAAATTTAGCGATTTAGGATCTAAGGTTAAACAAAGTAAACTGCAAACGATTCCGAGTTGCGCCATGTCACTTGATGATTAACCTATAGAGTTTGTGAATCAACTTATTGGTTGGGAATAGTAGGTGCTGTTGTGGGAAGAGACGCACTTGGTAGTCTAAAAGTTCGCCGACACAACTGGGGAATTCACGGTAGTCTGGGCGTGTGTAAACGATGTAAAGGTGGGATTGGGCGTCTATATCCCTCTAGTGGACATGGATAAGGTAAAGGGGGGTTTGTCTACCTAGATTTTACTCGTGATGTATGACTTAGATGTGCTGTTAAGTATTGTACCACCAACTAAGTGAAGACCATGTATGAAAATTGCTTCTTTAGTGTTCACTTCAAAACCAGAATCCTTTTAAATGAAGATTATTGCGTCAACGTTTGAACTAATAATAAGTGACATAGTTAAAGTTTTTGATCACTTCACTTATCTTTATGACTCATCAAACCCGTGCTACCTGACAAGATTTAGACATGTATTCAGAAAGCTCAGCGTTCGGTAAGTCGTATCACTTGTGGTGTGGAAGAGTTATTTGTACGTCAGCTGAAACAGTATTTTGCGCAGCAGTTTGTTCCGTTCTACTTTGTGGATGTGAAACGTAGCTTCCGAAAATTGAGGATATTCGTAGGTTGTTAGTATTCAACCACTGGTGCCTTCGAAACATTGGTCGTATAGGTTAGGACCACTGAGTTAGCAATTCTAATTGAAGACTGCATGAGTACCGTAACTGGCGTTTTAGTGACATGGTTGAGAAGCATTCAAATGGTAGAGGTGCATTCACTCTGTCTTCTCTTAGATCCTAAGTTCTTGAATTGTTTATAAGTTTTTTCCTATTAATTCATGTTTTTTTTCGGACATAATCCTAGGTATTTTGTCTAGAATGGGATCCATATTTGAAGTCATTCCTTGTGAGAAACAGCTCTGGCGAAACAATTCCATCCAATACTGTAGGCAAGAATTCCGGATAGAGTAATACTTATGCTTTAAGAGGATTTCTATGTAGCAAGATGAAGAATATTGGAAAAGCATAGGTAATGTATCACCTTTCCCAGACGACTATACTTACTTTTCAGAAAATTTAACGTATCCACTATGTTTTGATTAAATAGTTAGATGATTTTTGCAACTAACTTTAAAAAACACAAAGTCCACATATATGTATATACAGTTATAAATATCACTAATAAAGCGAGATACTGACTTTATAAACAAACGCATGAGAATTTGACTGATGATGTCCCATGTATTTTATCGGTATTTAAGATAAGACGTAAATCTGAGACATATTAAACCAAATGATAGATTATGGTTAAATAAGCATGCGATAAGTCACCAATCACCTGCCTGTTTCTGTAGATTAGCTTATGCCATAAATATGTTTCTACTGTAGTGCAATCCCTCCTGCAATCTATACATAGTACTTCAAAATTGTTATCCTGTTCTTTATTCAGGTTGTATGTTCTCAAAATTCCCTCAATAGTCTGACAAACTGGAGAGTTTTGTTTTGATATCAGTAGCACTCTCCGCTGTTTTATTTTGGAATCAATAAATTCTGTAACGTACATTTTTGATATGTTGACCTGTTTGTTACCACGATACTGATGATAACTAAGTTTCGGTTTAGAAAAGACGGGAGGCTAAGTGGCCTGTGTTAGTCCTAGGAATAGTGGTCTCTCAGGTGATCCAACTTTCTTTTAAAAGCGTCGGTAGATAGAGCTTCAATCACATGTTGGTGTAATAAATTCCACTTGCTGATGATTCAACGAGAAAGTTGGTAGTCAGCTGACAAGTCATTTGCTCTTGGTTTGCGAACATTTATGATTGTCCTCTTAAATTCCCTGTTCCAGAAGACGAGAAAAGTGAGAGTATATAAGTTTGTCCAGTAGACCGAAGACATCGGATTCTTCAATGGTCACAGTGTCCACAGTGTATGTAGAGAGTTGTATGAACTGGAGGGGAGGACATCTCTACAATATATGCATTACTAAATTAATTTGAGAATATCCGAGCTTCACCATAATCATCCTGTACCAGTGATGAAGTACTAATCTCTCCACATGATGCTGGAATACATTCTCTCCTCTGAGTTCTTGGATGTATGTACGAGTTTAAGCATTTAGGATATTCTATGGACTCCTTAACAAGCTTTACTTCGTACAAACATCTGGACTTGTGAAGAGTCGAGACACAAATATTTCGAGCTCCTCGACAGTGGGAACTTGTCCTGTCAATATCCAGTAACCCGAATCTCTCCCACATTATTCTCCTCATACGGGGAAGGTTGCGAAACTACTCACAGAAACATGTGTGGGGTTTCTCGGACTCCATGGTGAAGTCCAAGTGATATGTGGTGTAGTAACTTTCACGTATAGATTTCAAAATACCTCCTGAGCTGATTCAATCTGGGATTCTGATTTAATTGTTCAGTCAGCTGAGGATGCCGAGTGTATGATTTCGTGTTTATTCACCTTCTAGAAGTTTGTTCTGTTGTAGCGGCAAAACAATCCCCAAACTAAATAGCTCTGGAAGTTTTCGACATTGGATGCTGGCCACATTAGTTTTAATGGACTCACCTAGTTGAAGGCACTCGGTCATGCATCCGCACCAGATCGCGAGTGTGAACGCCGTGCTCAACAATCCCTACGATCGCTAGCCAGATTAGATCAGACGATCCTCTACATATTGATGGCCTATCAAATATATCTTCGAACCTCCTCGCTTCTGCCTTTTGATTTCACTTGGTGGGTACGATTCATATTAGGTGTTACTGGGTAAAGCGTTGTCAAACTCCGAATACCTGTGGCGTCGTCACCGTCTCTGACTGACGCATCATTGTTGATAACAATAAGGAAATGGAAGACTGGAACTGCATGGTCATTGTTACCTAAGAGTGGCATATAATGGGGGTTTGTGGCATCACTATTATGATGGGTCAATATGTGGCCCATTAGAGAGGACGATTTGGCGACTGGATCATACATCATTGCTTTGTTCACATATTGCACTAGGGCACATATGATAACCACATCAACCAGGATTTTCTGACAACTCAGTCCTCAGAGTTTTCCAGTCTGTCGTAGGCACGTTAAGGTCCTCTTAGACTCAACATCAACCACTGGATGACCAGGTGTTGAGACTGTCTAACAAGACCTCACTCACCTCACAGTTTAGATTGCAGTAGACCAAACCGATCAGCAGCTCTTGACCTTCGCAACCTCTCGGTTCGCACTTCTCACTTTCATGAGATACATTATCGATAACGGTAAATGAGACAGTATAATGGATAGAGCTAATACTCCTCCTTTACTCTTCTGAGTGGTGTCGTCTATGACTAATATGAGACTTTGAAAATCAGGTTTGCAACAGTCTACGGACTGAGCCAGTCGAGTTTTCGTGATGGCTTGTTAGAGTTTATCTGTGCACTTAACTCCGATCGCTTGCTGAGCAAGCTCTGAGCATTTGTGTAATATATCTGGAGACCATTTAGATGGATTTGTGCTGCACCTGATGTAGCCTCCGTCTCGTCCTCTGTCGAAGTCTCATCACCTGAAAATACACAATTCTGAGGTCATTCTCGCTAGTATCTAACCTTGGATTTAGTTCCCTTATAGCCTCTCGACGTTTTATACTGTCCTGAAGCGACAAGCTATTATGGACAAAAAACTGCTGACCCCTTTACCTTATGTCCATTCTGTAGTGTTAAATTCATTTCATTAGGAGTTTTAAGCACCATATTTAGCAGCCTGGTTTAATTCCGCTTCAAGTTCGTTTTGCTACTCAATCTACAAACGTTCATCAAGGTGACCTGGGAGACATTTTTGCGATTAGCCGATCAAGTAGATCTTCTATCAGTCTAACTTCATGCTCGAAGCGAGTACCATTTTAGTGAGTACCATTTGATGGATCTTTTATACACATGCCAGTACTTTTTTTAACGGCATTCAGTATTGTGGTGGCTATGGATAGCTAGCTATTTGTTTCCGTGCAGTGTTGTTGACACAACCACGCACAACCATGGTCATTAAGCCGTTTGAAATTTACAGGAGTTATATTCGTGCAAACCTCGTGGTAATATCCTTTGCACCCATTGCACTGAATGTTACTTTCCGTGGAGTACCGACAGCTCAAAAGTTGGAGACTGATTTTTCTCACTATCCAATCGTTAATCCGAGGTTTGCAAATACAGAATTAGACAAAAGCAATACTTCAAAACAGAAACCAATAACTAGAAGAAAAAAACTAAAACCGTAAACTGTTAGATTGTAAAGTACTATAAACAAGAATACGAATGCACTCAAAAGGTACAGATGTTTAATTTCTTTTGGAAAACGAAACTCCTGGTGTTACTTTAGCAGAAACAGATTAATCTAAAGTGAAAACAGTAATCTTGACGCCTAATGAACGATTAGAACAATAAAATTAATTCGTCGGGGAGGAATGCCACTGTCCTGTTAAATAACGCACGTTCTTATTCCTTTTGGAAAATTTCAAACATATTCGCACTACTAATTGAGTCCCTTATTCATGTACATATGTACATATGTGCTATAGAGTATCTCTGTCTTCATATTACTTATCAATTACTTTGTGATTCTGTATATACATTCATAAGGCTGATTTCGGTAATATCCCTATATTTATCCTGAGTATTTGATCTTTAGTACCGCGTTGGGTCAGGGTTCTATATTTCATTGGGGTCAGATGGCAACCATGATTGTATATCGTTTCAGTTAAATTCAATATTTAACCAAACAGGACGCTTATGCACATAGATTTATCACCAAGTAGTGACCACTGTTACGTTTATTTATTCCTTTGGTGTTGATCTAACCCGATTCGATTACGTCGCATATGGTCACTAGTTTAGGTGGCCAAATGTACTTGCATCCTGCGTGTTAGTCAATAGTGAACTTCCCTTACTGTTAAATTTCAAGCCCTCAGTACTCAAGCAACATACTGAACCATACTCAGGTCTTAACATTCAGGTATTTACAATATTCTAACGCGTTCGTTTATCTTGTGCTCCGATTCGTGGGAAAGTTATATAAGTTGTTTTTATCTGTCTATCTTGAGACTACTATGAAGGTAACACAAATAGAACAGATGTCTGTTCACCTCTTCTAAAAAAGAAAATGTCAGAAGATTTGTTTTTAGGAAGATTAAGAAGTAACTGATGAGATTTTTAATAACTATATAATATTAACCTGGTATTATCTTCGATAACTCCAGAAACACTGAAGTCCTTACACATCTGTGGTGTTTGAATTAACTAATGATTCTTTTGTACTTATTGAATGCTCGATTTCGAATTCCAAATACAGTACATTCATTTGTGGTTGTGTCGTACTTCTTGATTCAATTTCGTTAATTCTGGGATTTCTAGTTCATACGATAATTCAAATACTTTCAAACATTATAACATCTTCAAGCAAGTGGTTTGTTTCCACTTAGTTCATTCATTACGATGGTTACCAAAAGATGCTTGGGGACTCCCACGTTGTTCATTTAATCTACATCTTTGTGTTTGTTGTCTTTTCATTTTTGAGAAGTGACTTAGATTTCATTGCTCCTGAAGACCTTAGGTGTTCGTCATGAAGCGTGATAAATATTCTATACAAAAATCCAGGTGATTTTCTTATGTTAACAATTTTATGGTGGAATTCCGTTTGGTAAGACAAGGTTGCTAGCCCTACATTCAGATCTCCTGTGGTCAGAATTGAGACCAACAGTAGATACAAAAGGGGTCTAGGCGAAAGCAGTCTAAACTAAACCATTTGCTTGAAGGTGTTATAATGTTTGAAAGTATTTGAATTATCGTATGAACTAGAAATCCCAGAATTAACGAAATTGAATCAAGAAGTACGACACAACCACAAATGAATGTATTGTATTTGGAATTCGAAATCGAGCATTCAGTAAGTACAAAAGAATCATTAGTTCATTCAAACACCACATCCGCCACAGCTTAAATTGGAATATAATTGTCTGTAATAGGTTTGGGAGAGCAAACGGCTCCCCAGACGCTCACTAAGTAGTTAAAAAAAGAGCTCAAGTATCGAAAATTCATGGGTCCTGGATCACCTAAGCATATTTCAAAGCGAATAAGGAAAGTGTCTCAATGATTGTCGTACGTTAGTAATGTAATGGGGTTGAACTCTAGTTCAGTAGTCCATCATGGTTAGTGTAAAAGACTTGGGAAGATTTACCACTGAGTACTAAGTGGCTAGTGAGAACTGGTCAAGCTCATTGGTGGCGAGCGATGCCTAGACACATAGAAGTATGGTTCAGTTTACACAAAATTTGTCATACCATGTTCATCTTTATCTAAAATATATTATTTTACACGCAAAATTTTGCTTGTCATTTAAGGATTTCTCGGAGGTTGAATAATCTGCTCGCCACATTTGGGTAGGTCTAAATAATCAGCAACCCATGACTTGACTTTGATACAAGACTACTCAAGTTAATCTGTCGTATTATACCTGGTCAAATATAGTAGATCATGATGACAGATCAAGCAACGTAAATACGTTCATTAGTAGCCACTTTAGTCAGAATTTCTACA